GGTGTAAACTCTTTGTCCAGGGGAAGTGGCAGTCAGTACGATAAGATATACTCTGTGCGTGGGATATCGACCCGGCTCCTCTGCATCTGCAAAGCAACCGACTAATCCTATAAGCCACTGCTGTCCAGATTGAATGCAATGCTAGGGTTGTTTGTAATCTTAAAAATTATTGTTGTTAATTAATTCTTGATCAGAAGTTGGAAATCCGCCGTTGTTGCGATTGCTACTGTGTCATTTGCGTATGATAGGCTCACGATCGACTTTTGTCTGATCTTGAAACCTCTAGATGGTAGATGTTTAAGCCATCCAAAACTGGTCACATACGAGCATCTCCATGTGGTTTGGATGACGTCAGCAACAGTGGACAGTAGTGACCTACCCATTTGGCAACAAGGAAATATCCAGACAGAAGGCTCAATACTGGCGCTGCAGCTTACCGCCCGTTACACCATGTGTTCCTGCAATGTGTAACGGGAACCTCACTGTTCTGCGCGGCATGACTTGCATAGCTTTCCATCATTCTCGAAGTCAATAGTTTTAATCAGTCAACGAAGTCAAGCAACAGGTTGATTATAATACGAGATGCCCCTAGCACTGCAGATGCTTACCTACCACACAGGCAGCCCTGCTTCTACTCCCGTAAAATGCAACTACGAACGGGGAGGCATGCTGCGCCCCATGCACCCTAAAATCTGGTTCTGGAGGAATTGGATCCTAAACAGAGGTAAGGTAGTCAAATTCTTAGCTTTTCCGTAGCTCTTCGGATGTTCGTGGCTTGGTTGCTCGTGCCGCTGTGAACCCAAAATCCTAGGTGACCAGCCGTACCCTCCGTCTCATTCCTTTTGTACGTTCGATACAAAGTTATTGGTAGGGTGGCATGTTGGCACAGTTGTCTAAGAGGTTTGCTGCGAACTCAGGAGATACCGGGTCGAGGGCAATCTTTGTCTTATTCTCGAATTCCCTGGAGCAACAAACTTTCCAGTCATTGCTTCATGTTGAGGTTGCTCAGTCGTAAAGCGACGAACTCAGAGCCGATAGGTCCAGGATAGGGTTCAAGTCCCGGTCAGGGTCACTCGCCCTTTTTCCTTTCGAGATTAATAAATCAGTAATACTCTGAAAGGGAAGGAAAGAGGAGACATGCTGCATTTACCACATGGCTGTGATTTCTGCTTTTAAAAGTAATAAGGCACTCCTGGCTGACGGTAGAGAAACAGAGATCAGCACCGTCACATCATTTCATAAGAAGAAGGGCTCCAAAATGAATGTGAGGAATGAATGCTCCCAGTCTCGAAAGTGAGGCAAGACCGACCGTCCAAGGCTGACTGAATTTTCCTTTTCCTATTAGCAGGAAGATCTTAACGGTACGGGAGGTCAACGACCTTGTTATGTAGGTAGAGCTAGTAGTTAGGTCGTCTTTCCTTTGCAAGGAGATGAATAGAAATCTTTTTATTTTCTAAGGTAGTGTCCAGCACGTGATACTATCAGAGAACACTATAATTGCTGTATCGCTGCCAGTTCTCAGTAAGTTGATAAGAATGCCATCAGAATCTAGAACTTTTCTCAATTTTTAGTTTCTTAATTGCACGTTCAAGCTGTGATCTGTGACCTCAACTGTGGCAGTTCCGATTCTTCAGGCAGTTGTAATACTGGGGGTATAAAATTCCCTTGTATAGTTTCTCGCGGTATTCTTTCCGATGTTCTGATCACTTTTTCAGTGGATCGTCAGTCGCCAATTTGATCCTGCAGTGGCGGAAATAATATGCTGTGTTGTCATTAAAATCTGGAAAACTCAGGACATTTGGTATTAGAAAATTTAAAATTGTCGAATTTAAAATGTAAGGAAGAAAGTAACTGTCGTAAGTAGGGAGTTAAATATTTGCAGTACTGCTGCTCTGCTAGCTTTGTGTATGATATGTATGGTTGGCTGTTTAAAATTACTATGTTAAAGTTTAATGAACTTTCCTGGTTGATGACGTCATCTGTACTTGTGTAGTTTAGGTGCGCTGATAAAGCAGATCAAAGAAGCAGGTCTGAAGGTCGGCATGGCGTTGAAGCCGAATACGCCGATGGCCGACGTTAAGACATTGGTTTCATCGGTGGACATGGTCCTCGTAATGACCGTTGAACCCGGCTTCGGCGGTCAGGCGTTCATGCCTCAAATGCTGGACAAAGTTCGAGAATTGCGAAACGATCGTCCGTGGCTAAACATCGAAGTGGACGGCGGCGTCGGACCAAAGAACATAGTCGACTGCGCCGAGGCCGGCGCAAACATGATCGTTGCCGGTACGTCAGTTGTTTCTCACGCTAATCCAGAGGCGGTGATCGAGTTCATGAGGGAACGGGGAACGGCGGTGCTCACCGAAAAGTTCTCAACGACCAGGGACTGAAACCGAGTTCTCGTTGTTTTGTTTTGGCCATTCCATTTTTGACATGTTTTGCATTTTACGGTAATGTTTCATTATTAAGTTTTTTGAATCTTCTTGAAAGTTTTCTTTAATTTTTGAGTTTTTGTTCTTACCTGTTACTGTTGACGATGGGCTATTTTATTTCGTATAGTCGATATTTATTTCGTATACATATTTTGTATAATTTGCAGATTATTTCATTTAGACTATAACATGCGAATCGAAATGTTATTTTTCAGTGTACGATATCGCATGTGTTCGACAGAATAACGATTATTTTGACTCTCGCTGACAGGCGGCTCATAATTTTCTTTTATTTTAGGACTTTATATCTGCTGTCGTTGACAGGCCTAATTTCGCCGCAGGAAGCAACTGAGAACGAATGGAAACAAATCCTTTCATTGTTCGAGCCTTTAATGAACTGTGACAACGACTGGACGAGCGATGGGTATGGGCCCATTTCCGCTGCGCTTTCATTCCTTTAGCATCCTTCTGGGAAAATTAACGAGCAGTCTTATTGTAATGCAGGGTTCAGGTATTTTACCTATGCATTTCAAACATCTTCATAAACGATTTCCGTCACTTTAGAGGCCCGAAGTACATCAACACTGTCGTACTGATGTTTCTGAGATCACCAGAGGAGGAATGCATAAAGGATGGTATAAACCTTTGCCTTTGAAGAGAATTTCAAAAAATTTTATTTTCAGCAATATAACAAAGAACAGAAAAGCAAAAGTTACTGCACGGTTAAATAACAGAGAATGAAATACTCCGAAAACCACTAGCAAGAGCAAGATCAGAACATGACTTGAATAAATAAACGCCGGATGAAAAGACATCATAAAAAATTATTGATCTATGCCCTGTCAAATGTGCGAAGAATGAACATATTCAGATTCAAAGTTTACTACCTCAAAGCAGCTACAAGAAACAACTGCATTTAAGCAGTACTACCTCATCTTATATGTGCACGTAGAATTAATGCATTACTTTTATTTGCGTGAATGCTGAGCTGCGTTTGGCTAAAACGTTTAAAACACATTCAAAGCAAATTTGGATTTTTCGAAGCTAAGAGGGTGATGATCGTTGAACTTCAGTCAACATTGAAATGCGGACCCCTCTTTGGGTGCAGATGCGTAAGTATCGCGTATTCTATCGTCAAGAACTGCTCCCTCATTGGAACTACGGTCGCGACGGTAAGAAGCCATGCAAGCAGCTCAATGAAGTTGTGTTTACCGGTTCAGGCGCATATTGAAACCCTCACCCCGGTAGGGGCGTGCGTGCATCACATTTTCCGGACTACTGATATAAATCGCCAGCAAATCATCCAGGTCGAAGAGGGTGTTACTGTGGAGACGAGAAGTTTGCTGTTCACAAATGCTCTTGCTTTGCTAGCTTCTTCTAAAACTGATCTCTAGCGC